CACCACCACCACCACCACCAGCACCACCACCACCACCACCATCACCACCACCACCACCACCACTACCACCACCACCACCACCACCACCACGACAACCACGCACACACGCACGCACGCACGCACGTGCACCAACACCCACTACGCACGCGCACGCGGAGCCACAGGTCCGCTACGACACGCGTCCGCGGATAGAGAAAATCAGCGCCATGGTAAGGGATGGGAGGGAGGGGTAGGACGTCAGATATGACGCGAGCGCACCTAGCTTGCCCTTACCCCCTCCCCCTGCCCCCTCCAAAACAGAATTCATACATCCCTGCGTAGAGTTCAGAAAACTGTGCTCGAGGCGTTTTCTCTGGCAATATCCAATGCCCAGGGTCCAGTCCAGATTCTTGCTTCTCTTAAGCGAAATCTGGAGTCCACGAGAAATACTGTTTTCTCTCCAGATTTCTGATGAGTGTGTACCCCCCCGTGAGGGTCTGACTGCAGGTCCGCAGGCAGTGAAGGCATGCGGTGCGGCCATTGGTGGGTCCGAGATGGCCCTGGACTTGGCCCAAGTTGGTCTCCAAGTTGGGGTAAGATGGCCAAACTTGGCCCAAGATGGCCTCCGGCATGCTTCCAAGAGGCCAAGAGGCCCCCAAGGGAGAGAGGGGGAGAAGGGAAGGGACAGGGGCAAGAGGAGAGGGAGGGGGGGAGATGACGCTACGATCCCAGCTGGTTGAAGTTTGCCTAACGTCAAATGGGAGGAGGGAGGCGGGGAGAGAAAGAGAGGAGGGCGTAGAGTGGGATAGGGGAGAGGGAGGGAGAGGACGAGGGGAGCAGGAGTATGATGAACAACCCAGTCGCCAGGATCACAACTGCAGCCAAGGATCGGTGGCCAGCTGAGGCAGAGGCCAGTGGGCTCCAAGAGCTTGAGAGGCTTGCCCTCTCTCATCTCGGGAGCGTGCTTGTTTGCCGTCTTCCTCCTCCTCCTCCTCCTCATTATCATCAGCAGCATCATCACCATCATCATCAGCAGCAGCAGCATCATCAGCAGCATGATCATCATCATCATCATCATCATCATCATCATCATCATCATCATCATCATCATCATCATCATAATCAGCATCATCATCATCAACAACAATATCACCATTACCACCACCATCATCATCATCGTCATCATTATCATCATCATCATCATCATCATCATCATCATCATCAGCATCATCATCATCATCATCATCATCAGCAGCAGCATCATCATCATCACCATCAGTATCATCATTATCATCATCACCATCATCATCAGCATGATCATAAGCATCATCAGCATCAGCAGCATCATCATCATTATCATCATCCTCATCGATGACGCCACACTCGCCAGTATGCGGCCTCCTGACCATATTGCTTGCATCATCACCATCATCATCACCACCATCATTAGAATAAGACTCGCCATCGTCTAAACCACCACCACCATCATCACCATCACCCTGATTTACCAGTGTAAGTATCAGCATCGCCATGGTAATCATCATAAGCATCCTCATCGCATTGTCCTCGCTGTCCCTCTCCTCACGCTCGTTGTCATTATACTCTTCTCCTGCCGCGTCCCCAGAATGCTCCTTCTGTACATCGCATGTAATATCATCCTCCTCATCATCAGAATCAGAACCATGATACTAAACTCATTCAGCACCCTCCAATCAGCAGCATCAGCTGTATCACCATCATCGTCATCATCATCAACATGAACAATGTCACATCGTTGTCGTCATGACCGTCAATATCGACATCATCATCATCATCACCACCACCATCATCAACATCATCAACATCATTATTATCATCACCATCACCATCACTATCGTCCGTGACAACACCATCAGCATCGTCATCATAAGCATTCTCAGCAGCAGCATTCATCACGCTCACAATCACCACACTCATCAGCAGCATCATCATCAGCAGCAGCATCACCATCTCCATCATCATCATCAGAAGCAGCATTATCATCATCAGCATCATCAGCATCATCAGCATCATCATCGGCAGCAGCAGGAGCAGCATCATCAGCAGCGTCTTCCCCACCGCCATAATCATCATCACCACCATCATCATCCCCATCTTCATCCTCGTCCTACTGCTCCTCCTCATCATCCTCCTCCTCATCATCCTCATCCTCATCCTCACCCTCATCATCAACATCATCATCATCATCATCATCATCATCGTCATCATCATCATCATCCTCGTCTCATCCTCAGCAATATCATCCGTATCATCATCACCATCATCATCGCCATCACCATCACCATCATCATCCCCATCATCATCATCATCATCATCATCAGCAGCATCATCATCACCATCACCATCACCATCACCATCACCATCACCATCATCATCACCATCATCACCATCATCATCATCATCATCATCATCATCAGCATCAGCATCAGCATCAGCATCATCATCATCATCATCATCATCATCAGCATCATCATCATCATCATCAGCAGCATCAGCAGCAGCAACAAAATCATAAACACCATCACTCTCGCCGTCACCCTCACCACCCTCATCGGCGCGGCTCGAGGTGGCCCGCTTGCCCGCCCCCCTGGCCTCGTGCCCGTCCTTCGTGGCCCGACGCGACGTCGGAGCCGAGGTGCTGCCCCCCCCCCCCGTTTTAGCCAGGACCCCCCCAGCTCAAAAATGCTTCCAAGAGGGAGGGGGGAGGGGGGAGTGTCGGAAGCCCCCCCCCCTTTTTCGAAGGAAGGGGGGGGGTAGCTTGAAGCTGGGTCCCCCCTTTTAGTGTTGAGTTCCGCGCGGGCGCGCTCCTTCCGAGGGGCTGCCCCCGGTGTGCGACTGCAGGCTGCCGCTGGCGCGATGCTGGCGCTGCGGCCGCGGGAGGCGGCCCTGCGCGTGCGTCCAGCAGAGGCCCACGGCCCCACGCCGCAGAGAGGCAGAAGGCGGGTGCGGGTCGACCTCGAAGTCTGCCTCGGCGGCCCCGCGTGCGGCCCCGCGTGCGTCCGGGCCTGTGCGCATGGCCGACGGCCCACCGCCGTTCGCGGCGGGGGCTCTCGGCGGGGGCTGCGGAAGTGCCGCGCTCCGCGCCCAACTGGGCGTGCCCCGCCCGGATGCCGGAGCCCTCCCGAAGATCTTCGGGGTGACGGTGGGCCCGCGAACCGTCTTCAGACGAGCGCGACCCACTACTCGCAAAGTAACTGCTCGCAAGCGGCCTGCATCCCCCGCGGGAGATCTACGATAAATTACATCAAAGCAGACACATGTGTTTCGGACGTTTGCGAGTAGGCACTTTGCGAGTAGTGGAACGCGCTCGGCGAGTCTTGGCGATCGGGATGGACTGGAATCCCTGGCAGTGCCGGTGGTGCTCGCGCTGATGCCGACGGAGCTGGCGGACATCCATCGGCCTGGAGTTGGCTGGCACAGGCCGCTGCCGGCCCTTCTCGCAAGCGCTGCTCCCAGCGCTGTAGCTGACTAAGTGTGTGTGTGTGCCTGTGGGTGACGTTGACATCCACAGTCAAGCCGCTTGCCGCAAGAATCGGGGATGGACAGACCCCCCTTTAGTAAAACGTGGTTTAGTGAAAACGACCTGAGGCCCGAACCTGGCGGGCGCAAGCCTGGAAAATAACGGTCACGGCGCCCCCTCGAGAAATTCACTAATCGACGTGTCACTGTTGGTGGTTCTGGCCACCCCCGAAAGAAGCTCAGCAGAGGTACGCCACGCCCACCTCCGGCGATCATGACCCAGACCCCGCTGGCTGCTGGCGCGCGAAGGCAGGAGTGCAGCGCAACCGAGGGATGCGCCGGCGGTGTGGTGCAGGGGCCCCGCGGGAAGGGCCCCACGAGGAAACCAGAGACTCTTTAGAAACCCCTCGTGCTCCTGCCGAGCTCCCCGCGGGAAGGGCCCCACGAGGAAACCCGAGACTCCTCAGAAACCCCTCGTGCTCCTGCCGAGCTCCTCGTGCGATTCGCCACCCACGGCCCTCTCGAGCGCCGCGGAGGTGGAGCTCTCCCTGGGCGGCCCGCGGGCGCCTCGGCCCGCTGCTCGGCCCGCGGCTGGCGCGCGTCGGCCGCGTCCTGGCCGCGCCTGACGGGGCTGCCCCGCACCAGGTGCCCTGCCCGCGGGGGGCGAGAGAGAGGGGCCTCGCCGAGACTTGGACGCCCGAAACGGGCACGGAAAGAGTGGGCACAATGCCCAACAACAGATGCTGCCCCAAGCCAGCAGCGGCCGCCGTGGGGCGGGCGGCCTTCTGTCTCAAATGGACACAGGCCGCGGCGAGGCGGACAGCGGGTCCAGTTCAGAACGAACAGGAACTGCGGTTGGGCAGTAGACCCATGCTTTCCGTACGCATTTCGTTCGTTGATGGGCCTGTTCTCCACCACCACCACCATAAGTTGGAGGGGTGAGGGGGTCCGTCTCCCCCTCTTCTTCTTCCTGCTCCTCATCCTCCACCTCCTTCCCCCCTCCAACTCATGGTGGTGGTGGTGGAAAACAGGCCCATCATTCGTGCAGAGCAGGAGCAGGAGCAACAGCGGGCCACCCCCGGGCGAGCCGCCCTGTTTGAGGGGCGGCGGGGATATCTGCCGGCTCCCGGTCCTGTTCAAAGTGAACAGGAACTGCTGCTGGGCATCGTGCCCATTCTTTCCGTGCCCACGTCGTTCGCCGAGAGGCGGCGGCCCGGCAGAGCGACGCGCGGGCACGTTGCTCCCCGGCAGGGCCGCAGGCCAGCAGAGGAAAGACGCACGAGCACGGTTTTACGTCGGGCGCGTGCCTCTCCACAGGAGGAGCATGCCACCACCTCCTCCTCCTCCTCCTCCTCCTCCTCCTCCTCCTCCTCCTCCCCCTCCTCCTCCGCCTCCCCCCCTCCTCCTCCTCCTCCTCCTCCTCCTCCTCCTCCCCCGCCTCCTCCTCCGCCTCCTCCTCCGCCTCCCCCTCCTCCTCCTCCTCCTCCTCCTGCTCCTCCTGCTCCTCCTCCTCCTCGTCCTCC